ATCTTCCATCCACTTGCACACCAAATGCCGCTAGCCACCGGCATAGTGAGAATACCAGCGCTCGGTCGGCATCAATGATGCCTGCAGCTGCTCGGCCACGAGCAAAACCGCGTGAAAGCTGTCCACCAAAGCGAAGACGCGCTGGCGTGAACTTGGCTCCAGGAGGTGAATAAACTGCAGGGAAGAAATCTCCTGGATATAAATCTCCATCGTCCTGCTGTTCAGCCAACGACCACGTCTTCTAACCAACTCCGAGTCCTCAGAGGAGTGCAGAAGCCAGGTGGCCCCTCCTGCTCGGAGAGAGCCCAAGTCTAGCTTCTTCGTGCCCTGTCCCGACCAGCGGTCCGTGCCCAAACGGTGCATGATGGCTTCGAAGCGGCTCCGGAACGTAGAGGCTGAGTAGGGCCACAGCTTGCAGCCACCTTTCAGATGACCAAAGGCTAACCGTACGACTGCAAGCAAGTCCGGTTGGTCTAGCTTTGCCGACTGGTGACGGGCAGCTTTGAAGCGAGTCTTTGGTTCACTGATCGACAGCAAGCAGAAATGCACCGTGTCATAAACATCACTAGGTAGAACCAGGTCCGATCGCAGGGCGGCGAAAGCCTCGCCTATCCTAAGGACAGCTCCCCACGTCAGGGCCAGAAGGCCTGCAACCCGGGGCCACCCCCAGATGAGGGCAGTCGTGATGGCAGCAACCAAGACCTGCCAGGGTAGAGCAACGTGATGAGAGTGAGGTTCCTCCCGAAGCCAAGCGAAGGCCAGATCCCAGGCCATCTGCAAGGACCTGCGAAGTGCAGGTTCCCGGCTACTGACGGCGTTGATGACCTCGCTGTAGTGAGAGTAGGGCCATCCAGCTTCGAACAGTTGCCTTCCGTAGCGTACCAAAAGAACGTTGAGCTTCTTAGTCGTGGCAGGGCTTAAGTCAAGCAGCGACTCAAAAGTCTCGTCCTGCTGAAGCAGCCAGTCCGAAAAAGCGAGGAGGAGTTTCTCACGTCGCTTCTGGGTGACCTGTTCAACTGGTCGGCCCTCGCCCAGAACCAACTCGGACCTAGCTCGGGACCTTTTCCAATCCGCAGCGTGACGCGGGCGAAGGACATGGCTCGGGGCGGCTAAGGCAGCAACCCAAAAGAACCAAACCCTGAAAACCCCGAAGAAAGGACCCTCTCCAGGATAGCCCAGGGTAGAGTCGAAGGCCTTTGACGTGCAGTGCAAAGAGCGCCAGCCAAGAGAAGGCCGGTACGCAGGCGGATGCCCAAAGGCAAGAACAACAAGCCGAACCCAGTTTGAGGCCCAACGACGAAGCTTAGGCTGAGCCAAGGCCTCGTAAAGCTCGTCGGTGCACAGAGAAGCCCAAAAGGATGACGCAGAAGGCACCGGAAGTGGCAGGTCACGGGTAGGACAGTCGCCTGGATTCAAGCGAGTGGGCACAAAGTGGAAGGCAGCATAGATCCCTGAGGCCACGCACACGGCACAGATCTTTCTGAGGATAGGCTGGAGTCCACGGGAAGGGCTCCTGCCCTTGGCACAGGAGTGAAAAGCGACTGAAGAGTCAACCAGGATCACAACCCGCAACGGAGCAAAAGGGGCGAGGGTGCGAAGCAGCCGTAAAATCGAGGCCGTCTCAAGTATATTGATGTGGGCTGTGGCCCGCCAACACCAATCAGCACCCGGGACCCAACGAAGGGACAGCACAACATCATTGATCACGCAGCTCTCAAGCCCCTCGACAGAGGGCTCGCGGAGGGTGCTGACGCGAGCGACACGACACAGAGCACGGTCAATCTCAGAGGCAAGAGCTCTAGCAAAGAGCGAAGAAAGGAAAAGGCCAGCGGGCTGAAGGGAGCCGCTATGGTCACTAAAGGGCCCAGAGCAGCAAGGCACCGCAAGCGGGGACAAATCAATGCCAAAAGCAAGGAACTTACAACCCTTGCGGCAGGGGCCTCCGAAGGCACACTGACACACATCATACTGGGTGGCACCCAGCAGCACAAGACGATGCCAAACAATGGAGCCGATAAGGCGGGAGGCTCGGAAAGGCGCCAACACGGCAAGGACGCCACACCGCAACGCGGCTTGGAAGAGAAGCAAGCAGCGATGCGCAGCGGTGGTGCGGTGAGCAGCAGGAGCCGACCCAGAAGAACGCCACGGGCCAAAGGGACGAGGCCCCGATGTCTTGCCGGCAGTGCCCCCAACCGAGTAGAGAGTGGGAGGCACAAGCATGATACACTTGATGCGGCGGTGCTCGAGTAAATGCAAAATCCACTCAATAGCCCGGAGGTCTTTAAGATCGTAGGCAGGGCTCTCCCGCAGGGAGAAGACGGGCCCAACGGCAAGGCCGAGCGAAGCGACCAAAGAAGTAACCTGGCCCGCGGTGCAGCCAACCTCCAAGAAGTCAAAGTAGAAAGCGAGGGGCCTGACAGGCGAAGCTGTAGGTGGCGCACACAGCATCCTCAAGTCATAGGTCTCAGGATCGGAGAACCTAGACAGCAAGGCCTCCTCCTTGGAGAGAAGGCGGCTGTAACCGCCTTTCTTTGAAGCCGTCCTCCAAAGGGGCCGAAGGAGGTCCACACTGGCTTCGGCAACGACATAGCCCCCCTTCTCCTCCGAGGCGTCGGTGGCATAGAGCCGGCCGTGGAAGGGGGCGGCGACGTCACAGCTGGCCAAGGGAGACAGCACACTGATAAGCACAAGCTCCTGGGCGGCAGGCCTGGGCAAAGACCTCAGCACGGGCCGGCTCGGGCGAACAGAGGCTGCATGGCACACGTCATAGACCGCAGAAAATACAGACATCAAGGGCCGACGAAAGAGGAGTGCCGAAGTCCAACTCCCCAGCAAAGACAGCATGAGGCTGTCAGTGATGTGCAGGAACCGGGAGGCTTCCAGAGAGATGGCAGCTAAGGCGGCACGCTTCGAGGCGGGACTGGCTATGGTACACAAGCCAAGAGCACGAACCTGAGGGGTGGAATTCACCTCGGCTCCTGCTATCTTCGCGAAGGGCAGCCCTGCGACATCTTTATCATCAGATCCAAGGAGCCCCTCTCGATGGTAGATGGCTTTTGCAGTGGCCAGATGATCAAGGCAGGCCGGGGGCGAGGGGGCGCTGTCATCATGGATGCTTATGGAGAAAAAATCGTCTATGACCAGGCCCTGTGCGCCGGTGGTGCCCTTAAAAGGACGGTTCGAGGAGAGGCGGCAGGAGGGGTCAAGTAGACCACCGGCCTCCAGGATGGAGCCATGAGCAGCGCTGCCTATCTCCACACCCAAGTGATCCCCCTGAGCGACCGCACCGAAGCAAACAAGGTAGTCCCCGGGGTTGAAGAGCAGTGAGCCCCGGCCTTGGGAACCAGAGCGCGCCGAGGCAAGGCCTTGACCGAAGGGGGCAAAGCGAAGAGGGCTGGCGAGAGCCTTGGTACTGGAAACCCATGCGCGCGGGATAGCTGGGCCCAAAACGTTGGTGATGCATCTGCGGGGTGGGGCCCTTATTTGATGATAAAAATCTTTGCGGTCGGTGGCGGCGCAGTAAAGCGACTGCCGTCGCGGGTCAACCTCCAGCATGCCCAGCATGGGGCCAACAGGTATGTAGATGCTGGGCCCGGGTAACCGGGACTCGGCCCAGTTCTGCCCACGACGATCTATGATCATCCTGTCTTTATCCGGTCCCTTGTAGCAGTTGAAAGCCCTGGCGAGCCTAAAGCTGTCTGAGGAGCAGGCGCTAGCCGAGGCGAGGCGAAGGAGCCCAAGCTCATCCCAGAGAGAGGCAAGCCTGGCTGTCTCGCGAGGGTCCTCGCGGGTCCACACAGGGACAAAGTCATCAGGGGGAAGAACGCCATGGGCCAGGCAGGAGGGCTCGGCGAAGGCCATGTAGAGCTCTGCAGGAAGATGGGGCAGGGGATCCCAAAGGCCACGCCCCGAGAGCTTCAAACGAGAAACGTCCAAGGACTTGAAAGGATCAAGGCCAGGGAAGGCATCGTTGTGCATTGGAACCACAGTACCTGAACGATCAGCATAAGTGTCCCCCGTGGCAGCGGAGGCTGCAGAAAGAAAAGACGTTAGCTCAGAGAGTCGTGCAATCAATTGGGGATTGCGGCGGCCTGAGTCGGATAAAGGGAACTCACCGACAGAGGCACCGAACGCCTTCAAATGGCGGCTCAGATGCGCAACAAGGCTTCGCTGTGCAGCATTCGGAGGCCGCTGGAGCGCAGTCAAAGGTATTGGCACAAAGTTGGAATGCAGGAAATTCAAAGCCATGCAAACAATGTGCAACAGGCGCCTGTGCATGATGCGCCTGCGGAGACGGGAGCTGCACTCCAAAGAGAAGCGGGCGAAAACGCCAGCGGCAGGCAAGGGGAGTGGGAAGACCACCCCAGAAGGCGGAGCAGGCCCGGCAAGCCTGGGCAGGTGCAAAGTAGACTTGAGGAAAGAAGCAAAAGTGGTCCGAGTGCGGAGGATGGACCGAAGGAGGCCGCTGGCCCACGAGGCGAAGCACACCTGAGTACTGAAACCAAGAGAGCCAAGACCCCTGCTAAGTCCAGGCGGGGGCCGGCTGCACAGAACCTGCCTAGAACCTTTGCGGCAAGGGGGCGGCACACTGCAGGAGGCACCGGAAGGAGGGAGCCAGGTTGACACGAGGTTGC